GCTATCGGGGAGAAGGGCCTTGGTCAGGGAGGTGACCAAGAACCTGATGGTCAATCTGAAAGAGCTCCAGTGTTCCCCTGTGGAGACGGGAGATCCTTCCAGAAGGACAACCATCTCTGCAGCACTCCACCAATCAGGCTTTCATGTCTCCTGAGTGGCGCAGTGGTCTAAGGCACTGCATCGCAGTGCTAACTGTGCCACTAGAGATCCTGGTTCGAATCCAGGCTCTGTCGCAGCCGGCCGCGACCGGGAGACTCATGGGCGGCGCACAATTGGCCCAGCGTCGTCCAGGGTAGGGGAGGGAATGGCCGGCAGGGATGTAGCTCAGTTGATAGAGCATGGTGTTTGCAATGGCAGGGTTGTGGGTTCGATTCGCACGGGGGGCCAGTATAAAAAAATATGTATTCACTAACTGTAAGTCGCTCTGGATAAGAGCGTCTGCTAAATGACTAAAATGTAAAATGTAAATGTAAATGTAAAGTGGCCAGACGGAAGCCACTTCTCAGTAAAAGGCACATGACAGCCCGCTTGGAGTTTGCCAAAAGGCACCTAAAGGACTCTCAGACCATGAGAAACAAGATTCTCTGGTCTGATGAAACCAAGATTGAACTCTTTGGCCTGAATGCCAAGCGTCACGTCTGGAGGAAACCTGCCACCATCCCTACGGTGAAGCATGGTGGTGGCAGCATCATGCTGTGGGGATGTTTTTCAGGGACTGGGAGAAACTCCCCAAATACAGGTGTGCCAAGCTTGTAGTGTCATACCCAAGAAGACTTGAGGCTGTAATCACTGCCAAAGGTGCTTGAACAAAGTGCTGAGTAAAGGGTCTGAATACTTATGTAAATGTGATATTTCCGATTTTTTATTTTTAATAAATTAGCAAAAATGTCAAAATAAAACTGTTTTTGCTTTGTCATTATGGGGTATTGTATGTAAATTGATGATGGAGAAAAAAAACAATTTAATCCATTTTAGAATAAGACTAACATAACAAAATGTGGAAAAAGTCAAGGGGTCTGAATACTTTCCGAATGCACTGTATGTAAAAGGATAATTGAGAAACAATTACTCAAATTTGGCATATTTATGAAATGTTGCCTTACCCAGGCTTCCTTTAAGACTACATAATGTTTTGTCAGCAGGTGTTACAAAGCAAACATTGGTGTCATATGAAGCTTTACCGCTTGCTCTGTTATATGAGTAGTATTTTGATTTCCCTCACCCCAAAAAAAAAAAAATCTGAATATTGAAAATATACACATTTTGATCTGGCAATTTTTGTCATTTAAAATAAATAAATTATATATACAGTGAGGGAAAAAAGTATTTGATCCCCTGCTGATTTTGTACGTTTGCCCACTAACAAAGAAATGATCAGTCTATAATTTTAATGGTAGGTTTATTTGAACAGTGAGAGACAGAATAACAACAAAAAAATCCAGAAAAAACGCATGTCAAAAATGTTATAAATTGATTTGCATTTTAATGAGGGAAATAAGTATTTGACCCCCTCTCAATCATAAAGATTTCTGGCTCCCAGGTGTCTTTTATACAGGTAACGAGCTGAGATTAGGAGCACACTCTTAAAGGGAGTGCTCCTAATCTCAGCTTGTTACCTGTATAAAAGACACCTGTCCACAGAAGCAATCAATCAATCAGATTCCAAGCTCTCCACCATGGCCAAGACCAAAGAGCTCTCCAAGGATGTTAGGGACAAGATTGTAGACCTACACAAGGCTGGAATGGGCTACAAGACCATCGCCAAGCAGCTTGGTGAGAAGGTGACAACAGTTGGTGCGATTATTAGCAAATGGAAGAAACACAAAAGAACTGTCAATCTCCCTCGGCCTGGGGCTCCATGCAAGATCTCACCTCGTGGAGTTGCAATGATCATGAGAACGGTGAGGAATCAGCCCTGAACTACACAGGAGGATCTTGTCAATGATCTCAAGGCAGCTGGGACCATAGTCTCCAAGAAAACAATTGGTAACACACTACGCCGTGAAGGACTGAAATCCTGCAGCGCCCGCAAGGTCCCCCTGCTCAAGAAAGCACATATACAGGCCCGTCTGAAGTTTGCCAATGAACATCTGAATGATTCAGAGGAGAACTGGGTGAAAGTGTTGTGGTCAGATGAGACCAAAATCGAGCTCTTTGGCATCAACTCAATTCGCCGTGTTTGGAGGAGGAGGAATGCTGCCTATGACCCCAAGAACACCATCCCCACCATCAAACATGGAGGTGGAAACATTATGCTTTGGGGGTGTTTTTCTGCTAAGGGGACAGGACAACTTCACCGCATCAAAGGGACGATGGACGGGGCCATGCATCGTCAAATCTTGGGTGAGAACCTCCTTCTCTCAGCCAGGGCATTGAAAATGGGTTGTGGATGAGTATTCCAGCATGACAATGACCCAAAACACACGGCCAAGGCAACAAAGGAGTGGCTCAAGAAGAAGCACATTAAGGTCCTGGAATGGCCTAGCCAGTCTCCAGACCTTAATCCCATAGAAAATCTGTGGAGGGAGCTGAAGGTTCGAGTTCCCAAATGTCAGCCTTGAAACCTTAATGACTTGGAGAATATCTGCAAAGAGGAGTGGGACAAAATCCCTCCTGAGATGTGTGCAAACCTGGTGGCCAACTACAAGAAACGTCTGACCTCTGTGATTGCCAACAAGAGTTTTGCCACCAAGTACTTAGTCATGTTTTGCAGAGGGGTCAAATACTTACAGTGGGGAAAAAAAGTATTTAGTCAGCCACCAATTGTGCAAGTTCTCCCACTTAAAAAGATGAGAGAGGCCTGTAATTTTCATCATAGGTACACGTCAACTATGACAGACAAAATGAGGAAAAAGAATCCAGAAAATCACATTGTAGGATTTTTTATGAATTTATTTGCAAATTATGGTGGAAAATAAGTATTTGGTCAATAACAAAAGTTTCTCAATACTTTGTTATATACCCTTTGTTGGCAATGACACAGGTCAAACGTTTTCTGTAAGTCTTCACAAGGTTTTCACACACTGTTGCTGGTATTTTTGCCCATTCCTCCATGCAGATCTCCTCTAGAGCAGTGATGTTTTGGGGCTGTCGCTGGGCAACACAGACTTTCAACTCCCTCCAAAGATTTTCTATGGGGTTGAGATCTGGGGACTGGCTAGGCCACTCCAGGACCTTGAAATGCTTCTTACGAAGCCACTCCTTCATTGCCCGGGCGGTGTGTTTGGGATCATTGTCATGCTGAAAGACCCAGCCACGTTTCATCTTCAATGCCCTTGCTGATGGAAGGAGGTTTTCACTCAAAATCTCACGATACATGGCCCCATTCATTCTTTCCTTTACACGGATCAGTCGTCCTGGTCCCTTTGCAGAAAAACAGCCCCAAAGCATGATGTTTCCACCCCCATGCTTCACAGTAGGTATGGTGTTCTTTGGATGCAACTCAGCATTCTTTGTCCTCCAAACACGACGAGTTGAGTTTTTACCAAAAAGTTATATTTTGGTTTCATCTGACCATATGACATTCTCCCAATCCTCTTCTGGATCATCCAAATGCACTCTAGCAAACTTCAGACGGGCCTGGACATGTACTGGCTTAAGCAGGGGGACACGTCTTGCACTGCAGGATTTGAGTCCCTGGCGGCGTAGTGTGTTACTGATGGTAGGCTTTGTTACTTTGGTCCCAGCTCTCTGCAGGTCATTCACTAGGTCCCCCTGTGTGGTTCTGGGATTTTTGCTCACCGTTCTTGTGATCATTTTGACCCCACGGGGTGAGATCTTGCGTGGAGCCCCAGATCGAGGGAGATTATCAGTGGTCTTGTATGTCTTCCATTTCCTAATAATTGCTCCCACAGTTGATTTATTCAAACCAAGCTGCTTACCTATTGCAGATTCAGTCTTCCCAGCCTGGTGCAGGTCTACAATTTTGTTTCTTGTGTCCTTTGACAGCTCTTTGGTCTTGGCCATAGTGGAGTTTGGAGTGTGACTGTTTGAGGTTGTGGACAGGTGTCTTTTATACTGATAACAAGTTCAAACAGGTGCCATTAATACAGGTAACGAGTGGAGGACAGAGGAGCCTCTTAAAGAAGAAGTTACAGGTCTGTGAGAGCCAGAAATCTTGCTTGTTTGTACGTGACCAAATACTTATTTTCCACCATAATTTGCAAATAAATTCGTAAAAAATCCTACAATGTGATTTTCTGGATTTTTTTTCCTCAATTTGTCTGTCATAGTTGACGTGTACCTATGATGAAAATTACAGGCCTCTCTCATCTTTTTAAGTGGGTGAACTTGCACAATTGGTGGCTGACTAAATACTTTTTTTCCCCACTGTATTTCCCTCATTAAAATGCAAATCAATTTATAACATTTTTGACATGCGTTTTTCTGGATTTTTGTTGTTGTTATTCTGTCTCTCACTGTTCAAATAAACCTACCATTAAAATGATAGACTGATCATGTCTTTGTCAGTGGGCAAACGTATAAAATCGGCAGGGGATCAAATAATTTTTTCCCTCACTGTACACAATCCATGTCTCAAGACTTAAAAATCTCCTCCTCTTCATTTACACTGATTTGAAGTGGATTTAATAAGGGACATCAATAAGGGATCATAGCTTTCACCTGGATTCACCTGGTCAGTCTATGTCATGGAAAGAGCATGTGTTCCTAATGTTTTGTACACTCCGTGTATATTAATGTTATATGTGTAACTCTATACTCTATACCATGTTCAAATTTTTTTAACTATTTGTTATTCAAGAACAGTCAAGATAATGATGATGAGCCAACTCAAGAGCACACATCCTATACATACAAAAATAACAATCTGTACCATTCCCTTCTCAGCACTATTAATTGTGCATGTCTTCCTTTTTATACCTGTCTTTCAAATATCCCGCTGGGGCTGACCATATGGAACATGATTTCCTGAAATGCATGACTAATTATTATAATATGAAACAGGAGAACCAGAAGGAGTGCATAGGCCCATCGAGACGATGTTAAACACGGTTGGGTTCTGTATTGAGCGGAAGCCGAGTTCCTTGCCGTTCGCTGGAACCGGAGTCTTTGTTACCAGGGGCTTTGTGCCTAAAGGAACTACAGTGGCCATGTACCCAGGTAATTCTCACCAATGATGATGACTAAGGCCGGGATTCAGTCTGATCGCGCCTGTCCACAATGCACCATTTAAAGGCAATTTCCAATTGAGCCCACATATGCTATGTGTTTTTCTCATATTTCCCCCCCTTTCAGGGGTATAACATTACATTGTTACTATTATTGAGAGGGGTTTCAAATACATGATCCAAATATGTGTGAGTGTGAACTTAGAAGCATTCTCACTCAGTCTGTCAGTCTTATACTGTATGAGCAACATAGTGGCTAATTGTAGGGGAGAGTGGGGTAAGTTGAGCTGTTTTTTACATTCAGCATCACTCTGTCAAGGGAAATACAGCATTCTTTCTAACAAAGATATCTACATATAGTTCAAGATGTTGTGTATCCCTGGAAATAATCAGAATTCATGTAAACATTACAGTTTTGAAAACATAGATTGTCAGAAAAAAAGTGGTCTCTTGGCACAACTTACCCCAGATATGGGGTAAGTTGAGCCACCGGACAGGCCTACAAATTTCTGTACTGAATGAAATATTACCGCAACCTTTTTAAAACGCAATCACAATCGCTTTTTTGTCTTTTATTCATTTTAAGCATCTTTTAACACAGACTTAACGCCTAACAAACACTTTGTACTTTTATCGCTGGGATATGAACTTGATTACCACTTTTTCCATGTGGTTTCTTCTTTCACAGACTCCATGAAATGATGACCTCTTTCTTAATATTTGATCAAATTATAAATTTTGTGAATGGTTTCCTAGAAACAAGGGTGGGTCAACTTACCCCACTCTCCCCTATAGCTAGCAGGTTATGTGTTGGTAGATCGACTGAGGTGAATGAAGCTACAGAAGCCAAGGTGATAATGGTTGGCGTCATTTTTGCTTGATTTAGCTGTTCTCCAAATAGCAGTTTTTCAATTGCATAGAAATTCAGTAAATGAGCTTCAACTTTCAAAAATGTATTGGAATACGTGGTCCTCTGTAGCTCAATTGGTAGAGCATGGCGCTTGTAATGCCAGGGTAGTGGGTTCGATCCCCGGGACCACCCATACGTAAAAATGGATGCACACATGACTGTAAGTCGCTTTGGATAAAAGCGTCTGCTAAATGGCATATTATTAATACCATTTTGAAGTTCAGCTTTCCCCAGCTTAGGTCCCGCCCTGTTCATGCTCCCTCACCCATGCTTGCCTCGCCTAACGGTCCCCCACCACCTCGCTTGTCTTCCATTGAAAATGCATGGCTTCCGTTGTTTCATCATCTCCAGTGGAAATCCACTGTTACCATGAATGTGATCTCTGTGAACACGGGAATATTGCCTTTAAAAGCTGCATTGTCGACAGCCCGCGATCGTATTGAATTCCGGTGTGGTGATACTGATGGTTTGTAAGGACTGATGGTTTGTTGACAATTGTAGCATTTTAGCTAAGCCAAACCAGCTACGGACAGAAGTGACATTACGTAGCAGGTTATGAGAATTAACGCAACAGGTTAGGAAAATAAGGTTAGGAAAAGGGTTATGGCGCATGCACGTACCGATAGGACGCATGGAGAGATAGTAGCGCCGTTTTGTACCGTCAAAACTGTGATTATATGTAGAAGCCAGACAACATAGTTTAAATTAAGCCTTAAAAATCGATAGATCAATATATCCCCAAGCAACCAGGAGTGAGCGGTCAGTTATACACAACAGCGAACCAATCTATGAGTAAAGCGACTCTGAGACTCGAACCCAACAAGCCATGGCTTCCCTTAGAGGAGAAGACAAAGAACGACTTGGAGATGCAAATGAGAGCAACGAACAGCTGAAGGATATCCAGGAAAACATAGCTAAAATGCTCTGAAAGCTCACCAAAACAAACAAACGTACAATCTGTTGTTAAAAAAGTTGATTTGCTCGAAAGGAAAGTAGTCTTGTGTCAGATATGCATATACAGGGCGGGCCTGTGGACGAACAAGACAACAAAATTGGCCTTCTGGAAACAAAGGTGCAAACTTTAAAAGATTAACTGAATCAGCTAGAAAACAGATTGAGACAAAATAATATGAGAATATTGTCCCTACTGGAAGATGAGAAAAAAGGGGACCGATCAAGCTGATATCGGAGGAGCTTGGCGTGGATGTATCACCGGAGCATCTAGAGCGATGCCATCGGATCAGAATGAAGCAAAATAACCCTAAATACCCTTGCATGGAAATCTGTAAGCTGTGGAACTATCAGACCAAAGTCAACATTCTGAGGGCACAGGAGGGAAAGGAGATCAAGGTCCAGCGCCAGTCCATTCGATTTGTCCAGAACCTGTCTGCTAGGCTGAGGAATAAACGCAAGCAATTAATTCCGATCAGACAGTCACTGGAGGAAAAAAGGAATCAAGTCTCAACTCCGATTCCCAGCAGTACTGTGGGTATGGAAGGGAACACAGAGAATGGAGTTCACATGCACCGATGAAGCCCTGAGCAGGCTGCATGAAACCTTTCCAGTTGAAAGAGAGCCCAGTGTCCTGAGGAGAGGCAGAAGCGGAAAAAACGTAAGCACAGTAGGCTACATACAGTGATGCTCAAGAACAGCTTATCGTAAATTTAGACAATATTCCTTCCTCCTCCCCCCAATACAATCTAGTCTCTATTGTCTAACTGTTGGAGAGGCCTATGCTGCAACTTACTGTAGTAACAGCAGAAGTGTAGGCATCCTTATAAATAAGAATACACCATTCTTCCTTATATCCCAGCACATGGACCAAGAAGGCAGTTTTCTAATGTTGAATTGTACCTTACATGGTGAAAAATACACATTGATTTTATTGTATATCTCACAAGGGGCAAATCTGGTGTTTTTAGAATTCAAGCTATATTAGATCAAATCCAGACAGGAACTATTATTTTAGCAGGTGACCTAAATTATACATTCAATAAGATTGATAGATGTAGTAATGAAAAAGGCACATTTAGGGAGCCTCCAAAGAGGCTGAAAATGTTCATCTCTACAAATGATTTACAGGACACCTGGAGATTATTGTTTCCAATTACAAAATACTAATAATTTCTTTCTCAAAGTAAGAAAAGCTATTCAAGAATTGACTACATTTTTATTTGTTTTACTACATTGGATTCAAAAATGTATGATATAGTAATATCGGATCATTCTCTGGTATCATGTTTAATTACACCAATAGAAAATATACTTTGCAACAGTTAGGAGAATGAACAGAGCGCATCTTCTGGACCCAAAATGTATTAAATACGTAAACGAAAAAATGTAAACCTTTTACCATTACAAATGAGGACAGAGGACAGAGAAAAACCAACCCCTGATATAATTTGGGATGCCTTTAAGGTGTACATTAGGGGTATGATGATCTCAAGGCTTTTACTTGTGACATATAGTTAAATGCAATAAAGAGGAACAATGGTTACATATTTAAGATGTGCATGCTCATCCCCAGAATCTTTTTACGTGTCTATTTTCAAAGGATAAAGCTACAATGTGTAGGAAAATGAAACGTATTCTACAAGAATATCAATATCACTCCCTAAAAACACAACCTTATGCAACAATCCTTGGATAGCTTTTCAGAATTCACTGATAAATTGGTCCACATGGAAAACTAAATGCATAGAAACCGTAAATGACTTGGTAACAGGAAATACATTGATTTCCATTACAGAATAAAAAAAGTAATTTTGGGCTGACCAAAATAATATTAACTATTGGAACCAAGACTTAAAAATAACTGGTGTTGGCACAAGATGGAGGGAAAGTTGGAGCATAAATAACGAAATTACAGTTAACTAAAATGTACACTTAATCCAGTATAAATGTATTATACAAGACTCAGAATTCACAAATTCTACAGCCCAACGGCAGAGTCATGTCTTAAGTGTAAAACTAATAATGACTCAATAAACCATGCTTTCTGTGAATGCTATAAAGTCCAGAAGATGTGGACGGAGCTAGAAAGTTGGCTGTCTGAAGTATTACAATGTAAACTGCATATTTCAAGACATGGCATATGTCCCAATGGGCTGGACAATTCTCTTATCACTCATTCTGAAAAAACGTATACTAAAAACGTGGAAATCACAATGGAACACAATGGAAAAATCAAATGATTTATTCTTGAAATAGCATGGGCGACCGAGAAGAACAAATTGGCACAATTTAAGGCCAAGTGGCAAACAATAATGCAGGCACTAGGGATGGGGGTGTGAGCATGTGGGTCTGGGCAGATGAGATGTAGTCATTGTTTGTGTGTCTGTAAGTTGTTCGTATGTATACGTTTTGTATCTGGAGTTAATTATTTATATTTTTTTATATATATAAAAATACATATAAGGACAAGGGTTAGGCTTAGCTAAAATGATGCAGTTGTCAACAACTGTTATCCCCAACACGACGACTAGATGGAGCTGTACTGATGGCCACAACCGTACAAACCATCAGTCCCGACAAACCATCATTTATCATAACACCGACCTAAGAAGAGGGATACGTATTTATACTCATGTACTCAAAAAAATAAAGGGAACACTAAAATAACACATCCTAGATCTGAATGAATGAAATAATCTTATTAAATACTTTTTTCTTTACATAGTTGAATGTGCTGACAACAAAATCACACAAAAATTATCAATGGAAATCAAATTTATCAACCCATGGAGGTCTGGATTTGGAGTCACCCTCAAAATTAAAGTGGAAAACCACACTACAGGCTAATCCAACTTTGATGTAATGTCCTTAAAACAAGTCAAAATGAGGCTCAGTAGTGTGTGTGGCCTCCACGTGCCTGTATGACCTCCCTACAACACCTGGGCATGCTCCTGATGAGGTGGCGGATGGTCTCCTGAGGGATCTCCTCCCAGACCTGGACTAAAGCATCTGCCAACTCCTGGACAGTCTGTGGTGCAACGTGGCGTTGGTGGATGGAGCGAGACATGATGTCCCAGATGTGCTCAATTGGTTTCAGGTCTGGGGAACGGGCGGGCCAGTCCATAGCATCAATGCCTTCCTCTTGCAGGAACTGCTGACACACTCCAGCCACATGAGGTCTAGCATTGTCTTGCATTAGGAGGAACCCAGGGCCAACCGCACCAGCATATGGTTTCACAAGGGGTCTGAGGATCTCATCTCGGTACCTAATGGCAGTCAGGCTTGGTGTTCTCTGGCAAATGCCAAACGTCCTGCACGGTGTTGGGCTGTAAGCACAACCCCCACCTGTGGACGTCGGGCCCTCATACCACCCTCATGGAGTCTGTTTCTGACCATTTGAGCAGACACATGCACATTTGTGGCCTGCTGGAGGTCATTTTGCAGGGCTCTGGCAGTGCTCCTCCTGCTCCTCCTTGCAAAAAGGCGGAGGTAGCAGTCCTGCTGCTGGGTTGTTGCCCTCCTACGGCCTCCTCCACGTCTCCTGATGTACTGGCCTGTCTCCTGGTAGCGCCTCCATGCTCTGGACACTACGCTGACAGACACAGCAAACCTTCTTGCCACAGCTCGCATTGATGTGCCATCCTGGATGAGCTGCACTACCTGAGCCACTTGTGTGGGTTGTAGACTCCGTCTCATGCTACCACTAGAGTGAAAGCACCGCCAGCACTCAAAAGTGACCAAAACATCAGCCAGGAAGCATAGGAACTGAGAAGTGGTCTGTGGTCACCACCTGCAAAGCCAGTCCTTTATTGGGGTTGTCTTGCTAATTGCCTATAATTTCCACCTGTTGTCTATTCCATTTGCACAACAGCATGTGAAATGTATTGTCAATCAGTGTTGCTTCCTAAGTGGACAGTTTGATTTCACAGAAGTGTGATTGACTTGGAGTTACATTGTGTTGTTTAAGTGTTCCCTTTATTTTTTTGAGCAGTGTATAAGCAAGACCATAGATTAAAAAGTACCCCTTTTAAGACATAGCATACAGTGCCTTAGGAAAGTATTCAGACCCCTTTACTTTTTCCACATTTTGTTACGTTACAGCTTTATTCCAAAATTGATTCAATTGTTTTTTCCCCTCATCAATGTACACACAGTACTCCATAATGACAAAGCAAAAACTGTTTTTTAGAAATGTTTGCTAATTTATTTTAAAAAACGGAAAAATGACATTTACATAAGTATTCAGACCCTTTACTTAGTACTTTGTTGAAGCACCTTTGGCAGCGAGTACAGCATCGAGTCTTCTTGGGTATGACGCTACAAACTTGGCACACCTGTATTAGTGGAGTTTCTCCCATTATTGTCTGCAGATCCTCTCAAGCTCTGTCAGGTTGGATGGGGAGTGTTGCTGCACAGCTATCAATTTTCAGGTCTCTCCAGAGATGTTAGATCGTGTTCAAGTCCGGGCTCTGGCTGGGCCACTCAAGGACTTTCAGAGACTTGTCCCGAAGCCACTCCTGCGTTGTCTTGGCTGTGCTTAGGGTCGTTGTCCTGTTGGAAGGTGAACCGTCGCCCAAGTTTGATGTCCTGAGCGCTCTGGAGCAGGTTTTCATCAAGTATCTCTCTATACTTTGCTCCGTTCATCTTTCCCTCGATCCTGACTAGTCTCCCAGTCCCTGCCGCTGAAAAACATCCCCGCATGATGCTGCCACCACCATGCTTTACCATAGGGATGGTGCCAGATTTCCTCCAGACGTGACGCTTGGCATTCAGCCCAAAGAGTTGAATATTGGTTTCATCAGACCAGAGAATCTTGTTTCTCATGGTCTGAGAGTCTTTAGATGCCTTTTGGCAAACTCCAAGCGGGCTGTCATGTGTATTTTAATGAGGAGTGGCTTCCGTCTGGCCACTCTACCATAAAGGCCTGATTGGTGGAGTGCTGCAGAGATATGTGTCCTTCTGGAAGTTTCTCCCATCTCCACAGAGGAACTCTAGAGCTCTGTCAGAGTGACCGCTGGGTTCTTGGTCACCTCCCTGACCAAGGCCCTTCTACCCCGATTGCTCAGTTTGGCACAGCGGCCAGCTCTAGAAAGAGACTTGGTGGTTCCAAACTTCTTCCATTTAAGAATAATGGAGGCCACCGTGTTCTTGGGGACTTTCAATGCTGCAGAATTTTTTTGGTACCCTTCCCTAGATCTGTGCCTCGACACAATCCTGTCTCGGAACTCTACGGACAATTCCTTCGACCTCATGGCTTGGTTTTTGCACTGTCAACTGTGGGACCTTATATAGACAGGTGTGTGGCTTTCCAAATCATGTCCAATCAATTGAATTTACCACAGGTGGACTCCAATCAAGTTGTAGAAACATCTCAAGGATGATCAATGGAAATAGGATGCACCAGAGCTCAATTCCGAGTCTCATAGCAAAGGTTCTGAATACTTATGTAAATAAGGTATGTTTTTTATTTGTAATAAATTTGCACACAAAAAACTGTTTTCGCTTTGTCATTATGGGGTATTGTGTGAGTTAAATTTTTTATTTAATCCATTTTAGAAAAAGGCTGTAACGTAACAAAATGTGGAAAAAGTCAAGGGGTCTGAATACTTTCCGAAGGCACTGTAGTTATTTTGAAAGTTATGTTTTTTTAAAGTAATTAAGTAAATGCATATCACTCGGACAAGTGTTGTGATTTACCTTGTGTGAATGAATGACTCATTTCTGTGTTATCCACGCAGGTACCATCTATCAGGCATATGAGCCCATTCTCTTCCAGTCCATTGGAAACCCTTTTGTATTCAGATGCATAGATCATGTTTTGATTGACGGAAATGACAAAGGCATCTCTAAAATAGTGTACAGGTGAGAATGTGGCATAGAAAAATGGGTAACACTTTACTTGAAACCCAGTGTCATAACACGTTTTGACACGGTCATAACCATTGCATAATGTCATAACAGGTGACATAACTTGTCATAACCTGTCATAAAATGATCAGAACACTGTCATGAACATATATTGCATTATTTTATGGCTGGTTATGACACCTACATAGGTGTCAAAACCCACATTTATTCAAATGAGTTTTTTCCCTGCCAAGAATTTTCCTTTCGTTTTCAAGTTTGTTTCTTAAATCCTTAATTTAATTATTTACAGTCATGTTTTTTTTCTCCATCATATTTACCATTTTTATTTTAAATTGTAGAAAATACACTTTGACACTGTCAATAAGCATTATGACCATTATAATCATATAAGCCAGATAGGCCTATCACATACATGCCCTTATATCAGTCATCAGTCAAAAAGAGGGTGTCTTGTCCTGCTCCTGAAATCTGCTTCTGCATTCATCCCAGTCATCAGCAACAGAGCATTGCAATGTGTGCGCGATTACAATTATCATTTCATATGGTCAATAAAAATAGAAAAATCTATAACAAACATACTGTTGACATGTAGGATATGGTGTAATGGAATGTTTTGCTTTGTGTGGTAGGTTTTGTGGGTTTTTAAGTACCAGCAATAAAATAACGCAATATGTCACAACAGGCCTAAATATGTCATGAAAGTGTTTGTATTTGTATTGATTATGGATCCCCATTAGCTGCTGCCAAGGCAGCAGCTACTCTTCCTGGGGTACAGCAAAATTAAGGCAGTTCATACAATGTTATGACCATATTATAACAGGCTATGTCAACTATTATGACATATCAAAAAATATATATATATATATATATATTTAACCTTTATTTAACTAAGCAAGTCAACAAATTCTTATTTACAATGGCGGCCTACCAAAAGGCAAAAGGCCTCCTGCGGGGACGGGGGCTGGGATTAAAAATATAGGACAAAACACATCACAAGAGGGACACCACAACACAACATAAAGAGAGACCTAAGATAACAACATAGCATGGCAGCAACACATGACAACACAGCATGGTAGCAATACCACATGACAACAACATGGTAGCAACACAACATGGTATAAATATTATTGGGAAAAGACAACAGCACAAAGGCAAGAAGGTAGAGACAACAATACATAACGCAAAGCAGCCACAACTGTCAGTAAGCGTGGCCATGAATGACTCTTTGAATGAAGAGATGGAGATAAAACTGTCCAGTTTGAGTGTTTTTTGCAGCTCGTTCCAGTCGCTAGCTGCAGTGAACTGAAAAGAGGAGCGACCCAGGGATGTGTGTGCTTTGGGGACCTTTAACAGAATGTGACTGGCATAACGGGTGTTGTATGTGGAGGATGAGGGCTGCAGTAGGTATCTCAGATAGGGGGAGAGTGAGGCCTAAGAGGGTTTTTATAAATAAGCATCAACCAGTGAGTCTTGCAACGGGTATACAGAGATAACCAGTTTACAGAGGAGTATAGAGTGCAGTGATGTGTCCTATAAGGAGCATTGGTGGCAAATCTGATGGCCGAATGGTAAAGAACATCTAGTCACTCGAAAGCACCCTTACCTGTTGATCTATAAATTGCGTCTCCGTAATCTAGCATGGGTAGGATGGTCAGTTTGGCAGCTTGGGTGAAAGAGGAGCGATTACGGTAGAGGAAACCAAGTCTATATTTAACCTTAGCCTGCAGCTTTGATATGTGCTGAGAGAAGGACAGTGTACCGTCTAGCCATACTCCCAAGTACTTGTATGAGGTGACTACCTCAAGCTCTAAACCCTCAGAGGTAGTAATCACACCAGTGGGGAGAGGGGAATTCTTCTTACCAAACCACATTACCTTTGTTTTGGAGGTGTTCAGAAGAAGGTTAAGGGCAGAGAAAGCTTATTGGATACTAAGAAAGCTTTGTTGTAGAGTGTTTAACACAAAATCTGGGGGACATAACATTTGACATGGTTATGACAGTGTCATAACGTGTTATGATGCTGGGTGTCAATTAAAGTGTTACTGAAAAATGTCCTAGGGCTTGATGACTGTCCTATGACAATTTCTTTTCACATGTTGATGGACAGCATTCATATTTAAAAGTATTGATGTTTTCCAGGTCGTGCAGTGGAAGAGACAGGATTGGTCCTTTCAGGTTGAGTGACATCACTTGGTTGACAGCCAATACAGAAAACCCGCTAGCAGTGGGGCAATATGTGAACAACTGCTCAAACGGTACCGTCACATCTCTGCTCACCCAATTAGATTAAATATTTCTCTACAAATATGCGTTTATATTCTATATCATGAAGACGGTTTTACATAATTATTGTCTGTCTGTAGTGTTGCGAAATCTGTGACCACTGACTATCTAAATATTCATTTTCTTGTGTGGAATTATACTCGTCTTTCAGAGAGGGCTGCAAATGTGTGCTATCAGGAGTATGATGTGCCTGAAGCATTTCCTCTAGAACTTCGCCAGTACCTTCCCAATGTGAACTACAGACATGACACACAAAGGCAAGAATTTAAAGGATGCTTGAAATAATGTTGGTCCCTACTTCCTACAGTATTTGTGTTACTGTTGACTGCACCCATTGCAATCTCAAAAGTTAATTCATGAATTCAGCAGCTGTGTGGATTGATTCACTCATAAGTAATTTAGAGCAATTAACAGTAAGTCTAGGCCAGAGCTATTAACATGGATAAGGCTCTGGTCTAGGCTAGTAGGGTGTTTCTCAACCTGTTTTATACCAGGGATACCAAACCTAGTGTTTCTGTTTGTTTTCATAGCTATAAATGTATTAATACAAATGTTAATTACTTTCTGTTTTGGCTCCATTTCCAAACAGCAGCTTTTACTGTTGACTAGTGAGTAGTCTTCTGAGCCAGACTGTCACGTTCGTTAGACGGAGTAGACCAATGCGCAGCGTTAGTTGCAAACATACTTGAACTTTATTATCTTTAGTGATAATATAAACAACAAAGCAACAAACGAAACGTGCAGTCCTACGGTTTACACAACCAACACGGAAACAAACCAAACGGAAACAAGATCCCACAAACACTAAGGGAAAAACAGACTGTTTAAATATGGTTCCCAATCAGAGACAACCAGCAACAGCTGACACTCGTTGCCTCTGATTGGGAACCAATCTGGCCAACATAGAAATATAACACATAGAACTACAACACAGAACTAGAACACATAGAATCTACACACCCTGGCTCAACATATAGAGTCCCCAGAGCCAGGGTGTGACACAGACTCAGTCTTGCACTGGCTTAGTCTCGATGTGGCATGTGGTGACGCTTTCCATTGCCTGTCCAGCATAGCCACGCATTATTACATAGAAAACCTAAACATCCCTTGTCTGTCAAGAATGTTGAATCAAATTATATATGAACTTACTCTGCCAATTGTCTGTGGGGTTGCTTCTTATTCGGGTCGAAATTTGAGACAAAATATCCACAGGAAAGTATTATTAAACCAACTTCAAAACGCAGGTCTCTGTGTGGCAATCAATATTTTTTTGCTCATCCCCTAAGGCATGTGCACAAGACTGAAGTACATGCACGGAATGCATACTAACCAAAGTCTTGCACGCGTTTACATGGTTGTGCTTACAGTTGAAGTCGGAAGTTTACATACACCTTGGCCAAATATTTAAACTCAGTTTTTCACAATTCCTGACATTTAATCTGAGTAAAAATTCCCTGTCTTAGGTCAGTTAGGATCACCACTTTATTTTAAGAATGTGAAATGTCAGAATAATAGTAGAGAGAATGATTTATTTCAGCTTTTATTTCTTTCATCACATTCCCAGTGGGTCAGACGTTTACATACACTCAATTAGTATTTGGTAGCTTGCCTTTAAATTGTTTAACTTGGGTCAAACGTTTCGGGTAGCCTTCCACAAGCTTCCCACAATAAGTTGGGTGAATTTTGGCCCATTCCTCCTGACAGAGCTGGTGTAACTGAGTCAGGCACACGCTTTTTCAGTTCTGCACACAAATGTTCTATAGGATTGAGGTCAGGGCTTTGTGATGGCCACTCCAATACCTTGACTTTGTTGTCCTTAAGCCATTTTGCCACAACTTTGGAAGTATGCTTGGGGTCATTGTCCATTTGGAAGACCCATTTGCGACCAAGCTTTAACTTCCTGACTGATGTCTTGAGATGTTGCTTCAATATATCCACATAATTTTCCTTCCTCATGATGCCATCTATTTTGTGAAGTGCACCAGTTCCTCCTGCAGCAAAGCACCTCCACAGCATTATGCTGCCACCACCGTGCTTCACGGTTGGGATGGTGTTCTTCGGCTTGCAAGCATCCCCCCTTTTTCCTCCAAACATAACGATGGTCATTATGTCCAAACAGTTCTATTTTTGTTTCATCAGACCAGAGGACATTTCTCCAAAAAGTAGGATCTTTGTCCCCATGTGCGGTTGCAAACCGTAGTCTGGCTTTTTTATGGTGGTTTTGGAGCAGTGGCTTCTTCCTTGCTGAGCGGCCTTTCAGGTTATGTCGATATAGGACTCGTTTTACTGTGGATATAGATGCTTTTGTACCTGTTTCCTCCAGCATCTTCACAAGGTCCTTTGCTGTTGTTCTGGGATTGATTTGCACTTTTCGCACCAAAGTACGTTCATCTCTACGAGACAGAACGCGTCTCCTTCCTGAGAGGTATGACGGCTGCGTGGTCCCATGGTATTTATACTTGCGTACTATTGTTTGTACAGATGAACGTGGTACCTTCAGGCGTTTGGAAATTGCTCCCAAGCATGAACTAGACTTGTGGAGGTCTACAATTATTTTTCTTAGGTCTTGGCTGATTTCTTTTGATTTTCCCATGATGTCAAGCAAAGAGGCACTGAGTTTGAAGGTAGGCCTTGAAATACATCCACAGGTACACCTCCAATTGACTCAAATTATGTCAATTAGCCTATCAGAAGCTTCTAAAGCCATGACATCATTTTCTGGAATTGTCCAAGCTGTTTAAAGGCACAGTCAACATAGTGTATGTGAACTTCTGACCCACTGGAATTGTAATACAGTGAATTATAAGTGAAATAATCTGTCTAAACAATTGTTGGAAAAATTACTTGTGTCATGCACAAAGTAGATGCCCTAACCGACTTGCCAAAACTATAGTTTGTTAACAAGAAATTTGTGGAGTGGTTGAAAACGAGTTTTAATGACTCCAGCCTAAGTGTATGGAAACTTCCGACTTCAACTGTATGTGCCAGGTGATAGAAATCTCAAAGGTGTGGCCTGTGTGTTCCAGCCGCTGACCCTAACCCACAGCCAGAGTCAGCATGGGTTTGAATCCGACCCACTGCTGTTTGACCCCCGTCTTTCCAACACTTTACTATATCTTTAATGAATCAAAACAATTATGTAAGGAGTGGGACCGCAAAGACACCATTCAAATGTCTGCAGTGATTTCGTCCCTCATTGACCAAGAGAAAATGGTTGTGTTTCAATTCTACAAAATTATTTAGTATTCTTTCATGTTGAGCTCTAAATCTGGTTGAGAATATCACAGCGAGATGAAACTACGATTGCTGAAATCGCTAGACTGTCCCCTTTAATATGCCATCTCCCAGGCTGGCCTCCGTCACTCAGAGGGAGGGGAAAGCTGACAGATGGGGCTTTCTAGCATTATAAGGCACTGAACCCTGCGACGTTCACAGAGCGCGTTGTACACAAATGTCAGTTGGAACCTGTCCAGAACCGCTTCAAGTCCCTTAAAGAGAGGACTTAACATCTAAGTGGTTAAAAACTAATAATAATCTCAACGGCAGATCTCAAAGTCAGATAAATAATACTTTGATATTTTCTCTCAAATTTCAAACCAATAAGAATCAACCCCATGGACAATCGGTAGAGTAAGTTCAAATGTGATTTGGGACGTTTTAGGTTTTCTTCTATGTAATAATGCGTAGCTATGCTGGACAGGCAATGGAAAGCATCGCTATGGAGTCAAATCCGATTCAAAAGTTGAACGGCGCGAGATGAAACCTCATTGCGTGCGCAAACACTGAGTCAAGAGAGAAGAAATGTGGTCGAGTGAGCAGAGGATGGGTCCCGCGAGTCCACAGCCCAGTCGAGAGCACAAATTAAACTTGAGGTCCCATGATCAGCGTGGCAGATCTGTTGTTACCTACCCTTACCACGTGGGGGTGGCCCGTCAGGAAGTCCAGGATCCAGTTGCAGAGGGAGCTGTTTAGTCCCAGGGTCCTTAGCTTAGTGATGAGCTTTGAGGGCACTATGGTGTTGAACGCTGAGCTGTAGTCAATGAGTGCAGTGTGGAGTGCAATAGAGATTGCATCATCTGTGGATCTGTTGGGGCGGTATGCAAATTGGAGTGGGTCTAGGGTTTCTGGGATAATGGTGTTGATGTGAGCCATGACCAGCCTTTCAAAGCACTTCATGGCTACAGACGTAAGTGCTACAGGTCGGTAGTCATTTAGGCAGGTTATCTTAGTGTTCTTGGGCACAGGGACTATGGTGGTCTGCTTGAAACATGTTGGTATTACAGACTCAGACAGGGACATGTTGAAAATGTCAGTGAAGACACTTGCCAGTTGGTCAGCACATGCTCGTAGTACACGTCCTGGTAATCCGTCTGAATATTGACCTGCTTAAAAGTCTTACTCACATTGGCTACGGAGAGCGTGATCACATATTCATCGGGAACAGCTGATGCTCTCATGCATGCTTCAGTGTTGCTTGCCTCGAAGCGAGCATAGAAGTGATTTAGCTCGTCTCGTAGGCTTGTGTCACTGGGCAGCTTGCGGCTGTACTTCCCTTTGTAGTCTAATAGTTTGCAAGCCCTGAAACATGCGACGAGCGTCAGAGCCGGTGTAGTATGATTCAATCTTAGTCCTGTATTGACTCTTTGCCTGTTTGATGGTTCGTCGGAGGGCATAGCAGGATTTCTTATAAGCCTCAGGGTTAGAGTCCCGCTCGTTGAAAGCGGCAGCTCTACCCTTTAGCTCAGTGCGGATATTGCCTATAATCCATGGCTTCTGGTTGTCACTGTGGGGACGACGTCATCGATGCACTTATTGATGAAGCCAGTGACTGATGTGGTGTACTCCTCAATGCTATCGGAGGAATCCCAGAACATATTCCAGTCTGTGCTAGAAAAACTGTCCTGTAGCTTAGCATCTGCGTCATCTGACCACTTCCTTATTTACCGAGTCACTGGTGCTTCCTGCTTTAGTTTTTGCTTATATGCAGGAATCAGGAGGATAGAGTTATGGTCAGATTTGCCAAATGGAGGGCGAGGGAGAGCTTTGTACACGTCTCTGTGTGTGGAGTAACGGTGGTCTAGAGTTTATTTCCCTCTGGTTGCACATTTAACATGCTGGTAGAAATTTGGTAGAAGGGATTTAAGTTTCTCTGCATTAAAGTCCCCGGCCACTAGGAGCGCTTCATCTGGATGAGCGTTTTCCTGTTTGCTTATGGCCTTATACAGCTCACTGAGTGCAATCTTAGTGCCAGCATTGGTTTGTGGTGGTAAATAGACAGCTACGAAAAATATAGTTGAAAACTCTCTTAGTAAATAGTGTGGTCTACAGCTTATCATGAGATCCTCTACCTCAGGCGAGCAAAACCTTGAGACTTCCTTAGTATTAGATTTTATGCACCAGCTGTTGTTTACAAATATACACAGACCGCCACCCCTTGTCTTAATGGAGTCAGCTGTTCTATCCTGCCGATGTAGCGTATATCCCGCCAGCTATATGTTATCCATGTCGTTGTTCAGCCACGACTCAGTGAAACATAAGATATTACAGTTTTTAATGTCCCGTTGGTAGGATAACCTTGATCTTAGATCGTCCAATTTATTTTCAAATGAATTAACATTGGCTAATAGGATTGATGGAAGAGGCAGTTTACTCACTTGCCGTCGGATCCTTACAAGGCACCCAGACCTACGTCCACGATATCTCTGTCTCTTTCTCATGCGAATGACGGGGATTTGCTGTGACAATAAACAGACAAAATATATAGATGCAAGTTTCCACCCTGCATGCTTCCTTGTCCTGGAGTCGTGCAGGACCTTGAAGGGCAGGTGGTAGTCCCCTGTAGCTCAGTTGGTAGAGCATGGCGCTTGCAACACCAGGGTTGTGGGTTCGTTTCCCACGTGGGGCCAGTTTAAAAAATGTATGCACTAACTGTAAGTCGCTCTGGATAAGAGCGTCTGCTAAATGACTAAAATGTAAATGTAGCCAATGACCCTCTCAGCAGACCTTACAATCCATTGCAGACTCTGATGGTCGTTTAGAACTGAATCAGTACACACAGCAATTCAGTTCTGCTCACTCAGTCACACTCGCAAGCGCTCAAGTTTAATTTGCGTTCACCACGCTGGCCTGCGGGACCCATCCTCTTCTCGCTCGACCACGTTTCTTCTTTCTCGACTCGTATTTGCTTACGCAATGTTGTTTCATCTTGGTCGCACGCTCCATCATGCGCCCGTTCAACGTTTGAATCAGCTTTGACTCTATACATCGCCACATCTGAACTAGCACTGGCCAAAGCAAGTCTTAACTAGTGAGTGATAACAGCTTCTCTCTTCTTTTCCAGGCCTTTACGATGTGTGGTCCTTGTAGCGTTAAGAGACATCTGTCCAGGAGAGGAACTATTTTCTAACTACTTCACCATCGTGCATTAGGTCACATTATAAAACAGGTACTACCCGAACTTGTTCAAGAAGAAACGCTCGGCTACGGTGTGCCTTAGCGCACACAACCCAGGTCTAAGATTTTTGTACACATAAGATTATTATAAAAAGTACTTACTCAACTAGTCAAGTGAAAGCCCCTCTGAAGAACTGTGGCCAGATGATTCTGTGTAGCCTACGAGGGAAGGACAATGAAATAAATAATGGAAAACATGAAATCGAGAAGGCCATATTCATAATAACCTTTTCATTTATTTCTGCATCTGTACACACGATTTGTCTGGAACAAATGACAAAATATTCAACAACAACAAAAAAAGAGTATGTACAGTTTTATGAACAATAAACTTTACTTTTGAATAATGAGATTAAATCCTATCTTGATTGTCTACTTTACACTATACAGTCTTAACCCCAAATGAACGGTCAACCTTCACAACTTGACTGTGGTAAAAAGTCAAATACACTATATTTCCGAAGGTATGTGGACACCCCTTCAAATTAGTGGATTCAGCTATTTCAGCCACACCCGTTGCTGAAAGGTGTATAAAATCGAGCACACAGTCATGCAATCTCCATAGACAAACATTGGCAGTAGAATGGCCTTACTGATGAGCTCAGTGACTTTCAAAGTGGCACCGTCATAGGATGCCACCTTTCCAACAAGTCAGTTCGTCAAATTTCTGCCCTGCTAGAGCTGCCCCGGTCAACTGTAAGTGTTGTTATTGTGAAGTGGAAACGTCTAGGAGCAACAACGGCTCAGCCGTTGAATATTAGGAAGGTATTACTAATGTTTGGTATACTCAGTGTATACATCTTTCAAGTAAGTACATCAGGGAAAAACAATCCATTACAAATGAATGGAAAGATGACTCCATGGGGAGGTAAAAAAACTCATACTCAAAAGTTACTTTCCTGCAAAGTCCACCCTCATCCTCTCTCAATCATTAACATGCCTGTATTCACACAACTGGATGTCAACCAACACAGCAACAAGTCGTAATCCTAGACAGGCCAAACATTCAGCTCGAACAAACCGTTTTCCTGCAGGTTGTGACACCAAGAACTGATTACAATGACATTCGCTTCCCTCAACAAGTTAAATAGACAAGCAAAGACTAAAGGCTGTCTAGTACATTTTAATACTGCATACACCACTACGCCATAGTTCCATAGCAAGCTCCCTAAGGACTTATCGCATACACTGCTAGTTGTATTTATGATGGACACTGTACAGCGCAGGTCTATCAGATGCTCTTCAATGAATAAATAAATATTTATCCATGAAATGTCATACTTCAATAGTAAAATAAAAAATGAACAAATTAGTGGGGGTAGAGGGTATTTCTATTGAGGGTTACAATTCCACGGAGAGGAAGGTTTACTGATATCTTAACACATTTAGAAATTATTGCCTTGTAAGAGGGAAGCATCACAGTACATTTGACTTCCAATAGAGTACCACAGTATGATCATAATACCCATAAAACCTAGAGGTCAAACAGGAAAATGGTTCCATTCATTTTTCCCGTAGGGGATTTAAGAAACACTTAAAATAAGGGCTGTGTTTCATGTAGGCTTACCCTGACGTGACATTTTGATAACAGTGTAAATCTCTAGGACAAGGTGACTTATCAATACCCCCCAAAACTGAAATGCTAATTAGCTATCATAAATAACTACAAATGCCATGATCTTGACGAGACTGCAGAATCGAGGCAAAGGTAAGAATCTCTGGATTAACTAATGTTGGCTAAATGTAGTAATGAATAAATTGACAACATTTCTTTAAAATTGACAAATATTTGAACTGTCTTGTGCAAGTTTTAAATTGACACAATACCGGTTAGCAAAGGTGTCAGCTAGAGATTATGTGCAGGAGCTTGCAGGGAATTGTAGTTTTGCATGTCTACTTTGATGCATTTTCAAATCTGAGTAAATAGAGACTAATATTTTGATAAAAGTCACCTTGTCCGAGAGATTTACATGGTTATCAAAACGTCACCCAGGGTAAGCCTACACGAAACACAGCCCTTATTTTAAAGTGTTTCTAAAATAAAATAAATTAATAAAAATTAATGGTGGGAAAAAGATTGGAACAATTTCAGTTTGACCGCTAGGTTTTATGGGTACTATGACACCTCCACTGTGGGGCTCTATAGGGTTCAAGGGTGAGCGCAGACAAAGACCATAGTGATTAAGTCAAAGCAAAAGTGGACCAAACTAAATCTGGTTTAACACATGGGCTGGTTAATAAATTGTGTGTGGTAAATCAGGGAACTTTGGAAGAGATGTTTGCACTTCAGCCAACCAGAACTTCACAACCAGCATCTAAATTTCAATTGAAAACAAGTCAAACCTTAGCTAATAACCTCCATAACACACTTAAACTCTGAACTTGCTCATCATTTTCAGATACCCTCAATGCACTTCAAGTACTCAAAAGCACCCAGACATTCTATCACGTCCATTCCGACAGTGAGTTCAAATGATGCATAGATAAATGAAGTTGGATTGAACACTGGCCAACAGCACATCTTGACATGCAGGTACAGATGGGGCAGAGGAGTAATAGTGACATTCACAGCAGCAATGTAAACCCCCAGGATTTGCATAATTGATGTTTAAGAGTGGGGGGATTCAACTCCGAAACAAAGTCTTTTCACTACTTATGAAAAGTATAGCTTGCTACATGCACATTGTTTTAACTTAATATAAATAACAATCATGTCAAACATAACTGTACTATAGTGCATTTAAAACTAAACAGCTGAATAGGCCTACTTCTGCTTACAAAGCATTTTCAGATTAACAAAAAAGTTTACATTGTTGCAGTCCAACATTTATAAATACCCAGGCCACCCAAGCTAGCCAACTGACATTGGGGAAAACATTTATCAAATGTAATTCAAAACAAAATTTTAATGTCTTGGGAGAAAAAGGAGTACACAAATAGCAGTTAAGAAGTATGATGCCATGTCAGTTTTACGGACTATCTTTCCCTACTCATTCAATGGTAAATATTTAGCAACATTTTTCATAAAAGCCTCAGCTACATGTGTTACACCCTTTGTTTACTTTTTCGATAATGTATAGAGCGAATTCTGTAATACAATCCGTGATGAAGCGCATCTGGCTAAACTTGATCGAATTCGCCATTTGCATTGATTTGGAGGACTATGGAAGTCAAATGAAAGTCCAAATTGGCAACTAACATCTAGCACTGTTGAAAGGGAAGGTATCTTTCATATGAAATTATATTATTTGTTTTATTCTAGCCTATTGAACAAAGTCGCTGTGTATGGGAGGGCAGCGTTAAATTGGGTTAGTGATTGATATTTCCATCTCTTGAAATTCTGGAAAATAAAATAAATAAAACAGAGCATAAAGATTTCACCATCATAGTATCTGAAGTGCTCTTTTTTTACAGTATACAGAGACAAACATTTACAAAAAAAGTGTTTTGCACATGGATGACAAGTAGTACATCTGTTCAAAATGTACAAAACCTGGGGACCCTCTTACAAAATGCTACATTTAGGGCCAGGTCGTTGGATACCTGTAAACACTGGGAAAGTAGCGATGGTGAGAGAATGCTGCTCTTACAGCCAGCGAGGAAGAGAACTAGTCATAGTTGTAGTGGTGAGTTTCCCCAACACTCGAAGGATAATGCTCATCGGATCGACTGATGTGGAACGGACCCCAAAAAGCACAGAATCTCCCACCAGTGGTTCCGTTCCCACAGTATACGGACACAGATGGGCATTTCCCAAAGTTCCGGACTGAAAAATAAATGGCTATATTAAACTCTTGAGAAATACTTTTGTTTTGTTTTTCTGTACAAGAAGACATCACTGATGTCATAGTAAAAAAACAAACATATGTAGATCATATAAACTGAGTGTACAAAACATTACAAAACATGCTCTTTCCATGAGAGACTGACCAGGCGAATCCAGGTTAAAGCTATTATCCCTTATTGATGTCACCTGTTAAATCCACTTCAAATCAGTGTAGATGAATGGGAGGAGAACGGTTAAAGAAGGACTTTTAAGCATCGAGACAATTGAGACATGGATTGTGTGTGTGCCATTCAGAATGGGCAAGACAAAAGACTTAAGTGCCTTTGAACGGGGTATGGTAGTAGGTGCCAGGCACACCGGTTTGAGTGTGTCAAGAACTGCAAAGCTGCTATGTTTTTCAAGCTCAACAGTTTCCCGTGTGTATCAAGAACAGTCCACCACCCAAAGGACATCCAACTAACTTGATAGAACTGTGGGAAGCATTGGAGTCAACATGGGCCAGCATCCCTGTGGAATGCTTTATACACCTTGTAGAGTCCATGCCCTGATGAATTGAGGCTGTTTTGAGGGCAAAAGGGAGTGCAACTCAATATTAGGAAGGCATTCTTAATGTTTCGTACACTCATATAATATAATATATATATATACACACACACACATATATATATACACACACGTATGTATGTATGTATGTATGTATGTATGTATGTATGTATGTATGTATATATATATATATATATATATATATATATATGTATATATATATATATATATATATATATATATACACACATACATACACACACATACATACATACATACATACATACATACATACATACATACATACATACACAATAAATATAATCTCGAATGAACAAATATGTACACAGTTGACGGTGGGCTCCACCATAAAGTAGGGAGGGAGAAGGTGACGTGGCGCAGCCGTGCACACACGGTTACCTAGCAACCATTCACTCCGACTGTAGAGCTGTGTGTGGTTGGTGCTGGTGTAGTGTGTGTGCATGGCTGTGTTCCGATGTAGCCGTTGGCCTCGCCGGTCACTAAGCCAAAGTCTGTCACCGACACTGCCATCTTGGTGCTCGTGATATGATGGGGGCGTGCCTCATAATCCAGGCCCAGATTGCCTACGGTGACCTCGTGGAAGGGCTCGGGCAAGCTAATTTT